ACACGAGGAATTAACCCTGCAGAGTTATCGAATAGTATATGGATGAAGGGACCAGCATTTCTTTATAACGTGTCCCTTGGAAATTTAGATAATGGTCCACATCAGTTGGTTGATGCTGATAGTGACAAGGAGATTCGCCCAGATGTGCAAGTAGCTAAAACACAAACTGTAGATCGAAATAATGTACATAAATTAGGAACACATAGATTCTCAACATTTTCAGAATGGAGAACTTTAGTCAGAGCAATTTCCTTATTGAAACAACTTGTTAGAAATCTGGCACACCATAACGATAAACTTGAACATTTAGATGCATACAAACAACCAGATGCTTTGAAACGAGCCCAACAATTCATAATTCGTGAGGTTCAAATGGAAAATTATAGAAACGAAATAGACAATATCAGACAGGGAACATCGTTACATAACAACAGTTCTCTCTCGCAACTATCGCCCATACTTGATGTTGATGATACCTTAAGAGTTGGTGGTCGCTTGCGAAATTACAAAGATTGTGCAGATCTTTCAAAACATCCTATTATCTTACCAAAACACCACCATATATCATTACTTATTGTTCGACATTTCCATGAAAAAGTGGCTCATCAAGGCAGAAGCCTCACAGATGGTGCTATCCGTACAGCTGGTTTTTGGATTTTAGGCAGTCGTCGTTTAGTTTCTTCAGTGCTTCATAAATGTGTGATATGTCGTAAGCTTCGTGGTTGTTTCGGTTGGCAGCAAATGGCAGATTTACCTGAGGACAGATTAAAACCATCACCGCCATTTACATTCGTCGGTGTTGACACTTTTGGCCCATGGCCCATAGCTTATAGACGCACTCGTGGTATACCAGCTAATCAGAAAAGATGGGCACTTATGTTCACATGCCTCGTCAGCAGAGCAATTCATATAGAGGTCATAGAGGAGCTCAGCAGTGCTTCATTTATAAATGCGTTGCGTCGTTTCATTGCCTTAAGGGGTGAAGTTAAGCAGTTCCGTTCTGATAGGGGAACAAACTTTGTTGGCAGTTCAAAAGAGCTAAATATGATCACTGAATTTGTTGAAAAAGACTCTGTGAGAAGTTTTCTCTCAAACAACGACGTCTTGTGGCTATTTAATCCTCCACACGCCTCCCACATGGGAGGAGTGTGGGAAAGGATGATTGGTGTTTCACGAAAGATTTTAGATTCTATGTTACTACGAGAAGGTTCAAAAACTATTACTCATGAAGTACTTACTACCCTGTTATCGGAGGTAACAGCAATTGTAAATGCGAGACCCTTGGTTCCGGTGTCAGCTGACCCAGAATCACCATGTGTACTTTGTCCAGCAATGCTTCTCACACATAAAATAAATCAGGACAATGTATCGTTTCCAACATTCGGAAATAAAGACATGTTGAAATCTCTATGGAAGCACACTCAGGTTCTAGCAGAAGAGTTTTGGAACCGCTGGCGTAACGAATATTTAAACCGTCTACAAACTCGACAAAAATGGACCAGTGAATACAGTAATATGAAGGAAGGCGATTTAGTACTCTTAAGAGACCGTGAATGTGCTCGCAACTATTGGCCAGTCGCAATTGTTGAAAAGACATTCCCTAGTTTTGATCAGAAAGTCAGAAAGGTTCAAATTCGTGTTGTGCGTGATGGGAAAGCAGTTAGTTATGTTAGACCAATCAACGAACTAGTAATGTTGGTAGAGCATGTGGAACTAAAACAAAGTGAAACAGATTAATGATTATAATTTTAACTCGTTGAATCTTCGGATAGTCAGAACATTTTATAACATTTTGCATTGATAATTTGTTTATGTTATTTTCAAATTTGTTTATGAATTGGTGATTTCAGTTTTGAAATCAGAGGGGGAGTGTTATGTCACACTCCGGAAATTACGGATCTGTCCGTCATTATGTCGAATTTTATTTTTGATGTCTGCCACACGGCAAAGCTAAACAAACTTTTCTTTGGTATTCAACCCTCCACAGGGTGAGTTTTTGTTATACTGTAGTTTATAACCTTCATTTGTATGTCCGATATACGTATTTAAAGTCTAAGGTCAGTCCTTTTGAATTTAATTGTGATTTCAAACGATTCTCAGGAGTCATATCTCATGTCACACTTATTTTGTATTTTACATGTTAAATTAAGCATTCCGATGTTTATATGATGGTTATTTTTATTCCTGCATTTATTATACACCAGTCCTAGTCAATTTAAGCTTCTTAATTCTCGATTTTTGATATTACTCCGTCAGTTTGTCAAAATATTTTTTGTATGGAACGCCATTAGAGCCATATATTTAGGCGTACGTTTTTTCTTAAAACAGTATGTGTATAGAACGCTTTTCGTGTTATAATTTTGTTATCTAAGATGTAATTCTATGGCACTTTTTGATCATTTTTTGGTTGTTTCATAAGATGGACATATTTTTCAATGTATGGAGAACATTGTTGATATTAATTGTACCATTATTTTGTGAACATTGTCGATTGTGAACATTGTGCTTATTAGATTTCATTTTTGTATATTTTCAGTTTTTTACCCTCTCTGGAGGTCTGCAATAAAAGATAGTAACTCAGGTTTCAGCGTATCTTTGACATTACAGTCACCGACTTTGTTTTTATAGTATTTACCACTTTAGTTGGTAGTGAGTGATTGATTGATTGTTGGTTGCTTAACGTCCAGTGGCAAATATTTCATGCATATTCAGGACGAGAACAAATTAACAATAAATACAATAGGTAGGTCCTGTAATGTAGGCCGTCCGAGAAGGTCTGGAAAATTTAGACTGCCACCGGAAAACTAGGGTAAATTGGAAAGGGACAAAAATTTTGCCTTGCAACAGGTCACCTACGGACCCCTCATAGAGTTGTTGCAAGGGTTCTTAACGTGCAGAGAGCGTTGGACGCTCTCTACACGAGGCATCGGATTTAACGTCCCCATTCTGACCGGACGTGGCTGCGTACTTGTACATCCCGCACAACAAAACGGACGCCCCACTTTGGCAAGGGTTCTACTGCCGGTCGGAAGATGACCTATAGTGACATATTTCTATTCCCCAGTCACCCTTTGGGACTAGTTGGTAGTGAAAAACATAAACAATCTGAAGTTTAACGGCCTACAACATTTTTACAACGCGATGACATTAGGCTTTTTTGACAATTTGTGGATTTTTTTTTACATTAAACAATACTTTGAATGATATATACTGTAAACACAAAGTTGGTGATCCCATTATTATTTTACATCATTAAAACGAAAATTTATGTACCAACAACATGAAGTTTTTTAAGAAAAATCTATGGAGTAGAAATTTGAGATTTTATGATTTTAAGACAAATTTAAGAACATTTTATAAGCTTTCTATACAAATATTAACCTACTTTGAAATGATTGATTGATTGATCGTTGGTTGCTTAACGTCCAGTGGCAAATATTTCATGCATATTCAGGTCGAGAACAAATTAACAATAAATACAATAGGGAGGTTCTGTAAGAGGGGCGTCCGGGATTTAGGTCGGGGAAATTTCGACTGCCACGGGAAATGAGGGTACATTGGATAGGGACAGAAATTTAGCAGTGCAACAGGTCACCTACGGACCCCTCAAAGAGTTGTTGCAAGGGTTCTTAACGTGCAAAGAGCGTGACACTCTCTTTACACGAGGCATCGGATTTAACGTCCCCATTCTGAACGGACGTGACTGGAAATTTGTTCATCCCGCACAGCCAAACGGACGCCCAACTTTGGCAAGGGTTTTACTGCCGGTCGGAGGAAGACCAATGGTGACCATACTTCTATTCCCCAGTAACCCTTGGGGAAGTTATATAATGTAATTATTATTATTGCTGATTATGGCCTTACAATGTATTTAATATTTTTTTATTAAACAAAATGCTAGTTTCATTGATTGACCTAAAGCATAAAATAGCATTGTTTTTATCATTTCAAATGTTTAACCACTCATAGCATTAAATTATCTCTACTCATCCTTCATCATTATATATCAAAAAAAGTTGAATACTTGTTTAGTATGTCATAGAGATTTTACCATATTATATGAAATAGTTTTGTCGTTAGTATAACTTGTGTTTTTGAAAAGATGAGGAGAGCAAAACAAACAGACAGAATTACATAAACATAAAGATACAACACAACTTTCTAAAAACTTCAAACTAACATGTCTTGTAGAAATAATACTGTAGTTGAAATTAAATTCACAAAAGTTTTTATAGTTGTCGGTACTTAGAGTATATAAACACATTATGCCGTACTAGTAAACACTTCCCGTCAAATGTTCAAATTAAGTAAAACATAGATACAAGGGTAAACAATATGTATCTGCATACTGAATATCGGGCAAATGTTTTGAATTATTTGACTACTTTTGCTTCGGGATTTTGTACGGGTTCTTAATGTCATTTACTTAATTTTTTTCGACATCGTGCACTCGTGACAACGTCTAAACTGTCCTGAGCTCATTATTTAAATGCAGGTAAAATCGATACTCAAGAATGCCACAGGAACTTGTAAACTAAGACATGCTTGGAATAGAATTACCTGCAAAATTATTTGAGACTCTCCGTCCTGAAAACGTACTACCAACGACAAAATAATTTTATAATTACCTGTGTCACTATCGATATGACCCGCATCCGGCTCTCTCCCAAGAGAATATAGGATACCGCCCAATTAGTACAGATAATCAGACTTATTTAGATAACATACTGTAATGGCAAAATTGTTTGATACTCTCCGAAGAGGGTAATCAATCGGTCCCTTCCTCGTAATGGAGCATCGTTATTCAAATATTTATATTTCATAACACTTTGCTAAGGGATGTGTGGAAGTAATGAATTCTAATTGTTTAGCATTACTTCAATGCTTCACACACCTACCTGGTTTTTGTATTTCAATGGTTGAAAATTTTATGAACGTCATAATATGGTGGCAGGTACCAGTTTTGGTGTACCAGAACATGTGTCCCACGCAGAAATTTGGTTATAGTTAAGCATTGAGGTATATAATTGCATCATGTGGACTGAAAAAATAAATGAATGTAAATTCTAGGCTATTGTACTACACAAGTAAGTAGTTGCATACACAGGTTGGGGATTTCCTTCACAAATGGGTCCAATCAGAAGTCAAAATTGTGGTCTCCTCACTTGACGGCATCCAATCAAAGTGGGGAAAAACTTCAGTTTTATGTAAACAAAAATATCTTGAGATTTTGATGGTAAGGATAGGTTCGGACAAGGCTCTAATTCACTGAATATCATTTATCTCTTGAATTTTGCCTAAAATTCTTGTCGGCTTTTAGCAGGATTCTGCAGGTAAGGATTAGATTGGTATCAGAGCATCACATTTTTTGCCTTATTTGCAATGCATTTATAAATTTTAAAATATCCATGCTGGACAGACACCCAAATTTAAAGGTTTTCTATATATTCACATCAGCACGCACACATCTTAGTTACTTGAATCCATACATTTTATTTGTATATAAGCTTGAATGAATTTTCAAGAAAATAAAATCATAAATCCATGAAATTCTAAAGATTTATTGTAAAATAACTGGTTTCTGCCACCTTAATGCTAAACATGATTTTAACATATCACAAAATGTGCCTTTTTAAGGGTTCTACAGGTATGTGGTGTAACATTTCTTTTATTCACAGTCAATGTATAGGTATGTTTGGAAGAAAATAGTTTTTACATGGATTTTAAGAATTATCAAATATCAAGACAGATAACTCTGTATACCAATACAAACAATGACACTCAATTGATTAGTTTTAAAATAATTATATTCACCAAACAATGATTTTATATCATAAAATATATAGAAATAGCAATTACAAAGAGAGAAAAAAGTAAAATAAGCCTCAGCATAGCACTAGAAAAAGCTGATTATACTGTATATTACCTGTTATAATGATTTATTTCACATGATATGGACATTTTCTTATTTATTTACTTTTTAACTATGAATATATGAATTCTTCTTTTTTTATAGGTCTACTACATAGTTGATACTGTAGGACAGGCTACAGAAATAAGAAAACTGGTCTCTCTCATCAGCAATAGTGTGGCAATTCTAAAATTTCAACATGCGGCCTACACAGCTAGCTCATGTGGAGAAGAGATATGAGACTGATTGCGAATAAATGTACACTTAGTTTAGTGCAGCATGGATCTACAAAGTGAAATATATGTACCAAAAATATTAGTTTATTCAAAACTAAGCCTTTTTCAGCACTGCAGTCAACAGAACAGTGATAGTGACAAGAATTGAGACTATTTAATACCTCAAACAATGGAAAAATACTTCCTGAGATCAGTTGTAAGTGGTTTTATATCATGCATGAAACAATAAACTAAAGTATTTTTGAGAACTGTTGGATAATTCATACACTGTACCAGGAAACTCACACAATAAAATTTATTAAATATGAACACAATCCTTTTTTTCTATTTTTTTTGCATTCAAAGCAGTTTGACGGCAAAAGACACAAATATTGCTTTAATAAATTTGGTCTTACAAAGCCTATTAATGTTTTTTTTTGTGCCGTAACCATATGCACTGCATGTATTTTTAATGGTAAATGACTACAGAACTCAATCAGACTAAAAAAAGGGAAATATATTCTTTTTAATAAGTGGTTAAATGCTAAACATGATTTTAACATATCACAAAATGTGCCTTTTTAAGGGTTCTACAGGTATGTGGTGTAACATTTCTTTTATTCACAGTCAATGTATAGGTCTGTTTGGAAGAAAATAGTTTTTACATGGATTTTAAGAATTATCAAATATCAAGACAGATAACTCTGTATACCAATACAAACAATGACACTCAATTGATTAGTTTTAAAATAATTATATTCACCAAACAATGATTTTATATCATAAAATATATAGAAATAGCAATTACAAAGAGAGAAAAAAGTAAAATAAGCCTCAGCATAGCACTAGAAAAAGCTGATTATACTGTATATTACCTGTTATAATGATTTATTTCACATGATATGGACATTTTCTTATTTATTTACTTTTTAACTATGAATATATGAATTCTTCTTTTTTTATAGGTCTACTACATAGTTGATACTGTAGGACAGGCTACAGAAATAAGAAAACTGGTCTCTCTCATCAGCAATAGTGTGGCAATTCTAAAATTTCAACATGCGGCCTACACAGCTAGCTCATGTGGAGAAGAGATATGAGACTGATTGCGAATAAATGTACACTTAGTTTAGTGCAGCATGGATCTACAAAGTGAAATATATGTACCAAAAATATTAGTTTATTCAAAACTAAGCCTTTTTCAGCACTGCAGTCAACAGAACAGTGATAGTGACAAGAATTGAGACTATTTAATACCTCAAACAATGGAAAAATACTTCCTGAGATCAGTTGTAAGTGGTTTTATATCATGCATGAAACAATAAACTAAAGTATTTTTGAGAACTGTTGGATAATTCATACACTGTACCAGGAAACTCACACAATAAAATTTATTAAATATGAACACAATCCTTTTTTTCTATTTTTTTTGCATTCAAAGCAGTTTGACGGCAAAAGACACAAATATTGCTTTAATAAATTTGGTCTTGCAAAGCCTATTAATGTTTTTTTTTGTGCCGTAACCATATGCACTGCATGTATTTTTAATGGTAAATGACTACAGAACTCAATCAGACTAAAAAAAGGGAAATATATTCTTTTTAATAAGTGGTTAAAGGTGGCAGGTACCAGTTTTGGTGTACCAGAACATGTGTCCCACGCAGAAATTTGGTTATAGTTAAGCATTGAGGTATATAATTGCATCATGTGGACTGAAAAAATAAATGAATGTAAATTCTAGGCTATTGTACTACACAAGTAAGTAGTTGCATACACAGGTTGGGGATTTCCTTCACAAATGGGTCCAATCAGAAGTCAAAATTGTGGTCTCCTCACTTGACGGCATCCAATCAAAGTGGGGAAAAACTTCAGTTTTATGTAAACAAAAATATCTTGAGATTTTGATGGTAAGGATAGGTTCGGACAAGGCTCTAATTCACTGAATATCATTTATCTCTTGAATTTTGCCTAAAATTCTTGTCGGCTTTTAGCAGGATTCTGCAGGTAAGGATTAGATTGGTATCAGAGCATCACATTTTTTGCCTTATTTGCAATGCATTTATAAATTTTAAAATATCCATGCTGGACAGACACCCAAATTTAAAGGTTTTCTATATATTCACATCAGCACGCACACATCTTAGTTACTTGAATCCATACATTTTATTTGTATATAAGCTTGAATGAATTTTCAAGAAAATAAAATCATAAATCCATGAAATTCTAAAGATTTATTGTAAAATAACTGGTTTCTGCCACCTTAATGCTAAACATGATTTTAACATATCACAAAATGTGCCTTTTTAAGGGTTCTACAGGTATGTGGTGTAACATTTCTTTTATTCACAGTCAATGTATAGGTCTGTTTGGAAGAAAATAGTTTTTACATGGATTTTAAGAATTATCAAATATCAAGACAGATAACTCTGTATACCAATACAAACAATGACACTCAATTGATTAGTTTTAAAATAATTATATTCACCAAACAATGATTTTATATCATAAAATATATAGAAATAGCAATTACAAAGAGAGAAAAAAGTAAAATAAGCCTCAGCATAGCACTAGAAAAAGCTGATTATACTGTATATTACCTGTTATAATGATTTATTTCACATGATATGGACATTTTCTTATTTATTTACTTTTTAACTATGAATATATGAATTCTTCTTTTTTTATAGGTCTACTACATAGTTGATACTGTAGGACAGGCTACAGAAATAAGAAAACTGGTCTCTCTCATCAGCAATAGTGTGGCAATTCTAAAATTTCAACATGCGGCCTACACAGCTAGCTCATGTGGAGAAGAGATATGAGACTGATTGCGAATAAATGTACACTTAGTTTAGTGCAGCATGGATCTACAAAGTGAAATATATGTACCAAAAATATTAGTTTATTCAAAACTAAGCCTTTTTCAGCACTGCAGTCAACAGAACAGTGATAGTGACAAGAATTGAGACTATTTAATACCTCAAACAATGGAAAAATACTTCCTGAGATCAGTTGTAAGTGGTTTTATATCATGCATGAAACAATAAACTAAAGTATTTTTGAGAACTGTTGGATAATTCATACACTGTACCAGGAAACTCACACAATAAAATTTATTAAATATGAACACAATCCTTTTTTTCTATTTTTTTTGCATTCAAAGCAGTTTGACGGCAAAAGACACAAATATTGCTTTAATAAATTTGGTCTTACAAAGCCTATTAATGTTTTTTTTTGTGCCGTAACCATATGCACTGCATGTATTTTTAATGGTAAATGACTACAGAACTCAATCAGACTAAAAAAAGGGAAATATATTCTTTTTAATAAGTGGTTAAATGCTAAACATGATTTTAACATATCACAAAATGTGCCTTTTTAAGGGTTCTACAGGTATGTGGTGTAACATTTCTTTTATTCACAGTCAATGTATAGGTCTGTTTGGAAGAAAATAGTTTTTACATGGATTTTAAGAATTATCAAATATCAAGACAGATAACTCTGTATACCAATACAAACAATGACACTCAATTGATTAGTTTTAAAATAATTATATTCACCAAACAATGATTTTATATCATAAAATATATAGAAATAGCAATTACAAAGAGAGAAAAAAGTAAAATAAGCCTCAGCATAGCACTAGAAAAAGCTGATTATACTGTATATTACCTGTTATAATGATTTATTTCACATGATATGGACATTTTCTTATTTATTTACTTTTTAACTATGAATATATGAATTCTTCTTTTTTTATAGGTCTACTACATAGTTGATACTGTAGGACAGGCTACAGAAATAAGAAAACTGGTCTCTCTCATCAGCAATAGTGTGGCAATTCTAAAATTTCAACATGCGGCCTACACAGCTAGCTCATGTGGAGAAGAGATATGAGACTGATTGCGAATAAATGTACACTTAGTTTAGTGCAGCATGGATCTACAAAGTGAAATATATGTACCAAAAATATTAGTTTATTCAAAACTAAGCCTTTTTCAGCACTGCAGTCAACAGAACAGTGATAGTGACAAGAATTGAGACTATTTAATACCTCAAACAATGGAAAAATACTTCCTGAGATCAGTTGTAAGTGGTTTTATATCATGCATGAAACAATAAACTAAAGTATTTTTGAGAACTGTTGGATAATTCATACACTGTACCAGGAAACTCACACAATAAAATTTATTAAATATGAACACAATCCTTTTTTTCTATTTTTTTTGCATTCAAAGCAGTTTGACGGCAAAAGACACAAATATTGCTTTAATAAATTTGGTCTTGCAAAGCCTATTAATGTTTTTTTTTGTGCCGTAACCATATGCACTGCATGTATTTTTAATGGTAAATGACTACAGAACTCAATCAGACTAAAAAAAGGGAAATATATTCTTTTTAATAAGTGGTTAAAGGTGGCAGGTACCAGTTTTGGTGTACCAGAACATGTGTCCCACGCAGAAATTTGGTTATAGTTAAGCATTGAGGTATATAATTGCATCATGTGGACTGAAAAAATAAATGAATGTAAATTCTAGGCTATTGTACTACACAAGTAAGTAGTTGCATACACAGGTTGGGGATTTCCTTCACAAATGGGTCCAATCAGAAGTCAAAATTGTGGTCTCCTCACTTGACGGCATCCAATCAAAGTGGGGAAAAACTTCAGTTTTATGTAAACAAAAATATCTTGAGATTTTGATGGTAAGGATAGGTTCGGACAAGGCTCTAATTCACTGAATATCATTTATCTCTTGAATTTTGCCTAAAATTCTTGTCGGCTTTTAGCAGGATTCTGCAGGTAAGGATTAGATTGGTATCAGAGCATCACATTTTTTGCCTTATTTGCAATGCATTTATAAATTTTAAAATATCCATGCTGGACAGACACCCAAATTTAAAGGTTTTCTATATATTCACATCAGCACGCACACATCTTAGTTACTTGAATCCATACATTTTATTTGTATATAAGCTTGAATGAATTTTCAAGAAAATAAAATCATAAATCCATGAAATTCTAAAGATTTATTGTAAAATAACTGGTTTCTGCCACCTATAGGTTTTGATACGGGTAGAACAAAGTATGCCGGTCAACCTCACACGAATAATAATTTTGTCGTTTGTATTATCAAAGGATTGGGACGGTAAATCCGATGGTGAACGGACAGAAAGTCACAGGACAAAAAGTGACAGGACATAAATGCACAAATTTGAGAGGACAAAAAGTCACAGGACAAAAAGTCACAATTAATTTGTTGACAATTGTTTGAATATATAAGAGAAAGATCTTGAAATATTTTCTTTTTATAACATATATTCATTTTTAAGTTTAGGAAATTGTTCATAAGCCTTGATAAATGAAAGTTTATTAAATTTTAATCATGCAAAGGATATATTTATTATGAAGTCATTTAAGTACCAAGCCGCTTTGACATTTTGTTTTTATAACAATTATTTGATCATTATTGATATTTATTGAATAAATTTTAATTACAAAGTTTCTTCATATATAATAGTTCAAGAAAAAACAAAAAAAATATTTTTTAAATTAGTGTTTTCTTGTTTAAATAAAAATAATCTCAAAACTGAATTGTGACTTTTTGTCCTGTGACTTTTTGTCCGTGACTTTTTGTCTGTGACTTTTTGTCCTGTGACTTTCTGTCCTACATTCAACCCGATATCACGCTCTCTGCACTCTAAGATCCTTTGCAACAACTGTATGTCCGTATCCAATTTACTCACATTTTCAAGAGGTAGTCGAAATGTCCCGGACAGCTTCCATAACAGAAAATACCTTTTGTATTTATTGTTAATTTGGTCTCGTGCTGATCATGCATGAAATATTTGCCATTGAACGTATAGTAGCTATCAATCATCATACCCTTAAACCCTTCAATCATGATTCTAACAAAGCATATTCGTGGGAAGATTGATTTGCCTCAGGGGGATTTATAACATTGTATTTATTGATCTTTCTTCAGATCGGCAGTCAAACCCTTGCCAAAATGGGGCGTACAGGTTCACAGTGCCGTATGAAAACCAGAGACAATAAACACACACTAACTTTTATTCGACATTATGTTGTTTTATGTACGTGTATGCTTTGTAAACGTATTCAATGATAATTTGATAGCAGAAACCCATTATACAAAAAAGTTTTATATAAATGTGACACTGAATTTAAATCTTCCTAACACTTTTTATAACTATCTTGCCACCAGTCTTTTCCCCATTGTCCGTAGGTGCCTGACGCATCCCAGTTGAACTTGCAATACGACATTAAAGGTTCTATTACTTCTGAAATCAAATTTCAGCCTTCAAAAATTAGGAAAAGAATAAATCTTTTCAGCTGTTTATTTTCAATTTCTTTGCGGAAGATTTTTAATAAGGCATAACATAATACCTGGGTAAGGAAATCACGAGGTTGTTTTACATCTCCAGGAATACTAGTCTCTATTATTTCTTGACGCTGCAGTCTTGGAACAAATATGGAAAAGAAAATGGGATACTAAAAAAAATAAAATGTTAACAAAAACATCTTTTGTCACTCATAATTTTAGTGTCACAATAATTCCTAAATTTATCAAATGCAAATTTAAAAATTGGTATATAATAAAGTTTGCCAGTACCGAAGCACTGACTTTATAGACGAAGATACCTTGCGGGACTTATAGTCACCCATCAGTTGTATCGGCCCATTTATACGAGTACTGATGCACTGACTACAGAGGAGAAGAATTCATGCAGTACTGATAGTCACCCATCAGTTGTATCGGCCATTGATACAGAAAATGAAAAATAAGACTTGACATACCGTTTACTATTGTCCTTCATATTCGGATCGATTTTGTTTTATGTGTTCATCCATCACTACTACTACTGTACACTGGTACATCTTGAATAAAGTCCTCATTTGCCCGAAGAGATATATACAGATTTTTATACGCAGACGTCAATGTTTGATTGAAGAGATTGATACAAATTTCTTGAAAATAGTCTTAAATCGTCTTCTCTATTTGACCGAAGAGATATATACAGATTTTTATACGCCCTGAGGCAGTATCATTTTCATCAGAATCATCCTGAATGTTTTCGGAATGCTGTAATGTAGGCAGCAATGACTGATATGGATTTAAACAACCATCGCTTGGTAGGCGAAACCTATTTGACGAATCGCTTGAGCTGCCGGCATTAGTAAGATCTCGTTGTTCGGGTGATGATAAAATGAAATTTTATTTTTCCAACTCGTCCATTTCTGCATATTCGTGGCGACTTCCCTTTCCTGTTGAAATATTGGGGCTCATTTCAACGTCATGGTCTACGTTAGCTCCGAGGTTATCTACATCTATATTTTGGTTTATTTCTAAATTTTGATTAGTGTAAACAATAGCCAACGATACTGCAACTGTGAATGAGACAAATACCAGCTCCATACGATACAAAAATAAAAACATAAGTATTTATGTCAGACAACGTTAGGTTTAAGGTGCAAGTTGAAAGGCTTGGATATCATTTTCCATTCGTGAAAGTAACTGAGAATTAAGTGTCAAATCCACCTGGTAGAATGCTGCTTCGTCTTGTGATGAATTTCAAGATATCTTCAAGCTGTTAGATCCCGTCTGTGTACTGACATTTACCTTGTGAAATGAAAAAAAAAATGTTCTGTTTTATTCTTATTTACAATTGAACTTTTATAATGCCACGCCAAGTTGTATAGGGAAAATATAATAAGGAAAAAGGACCTTCCTTTTTGGCTAAGCAAAACGTGAAATGCAGTTTGAAAGCATATCATCTTTTAACCCCTAGTCAATCAGCAACAGTTGTTTTCTATGTGTTGCTTTCCTACTGTCACTACCAGCAATATGCCACTTTATTCTGGCATGTAATGTGAGATAGAACAAAGTCACAGTTCTAAGTGAGTGTTCTGTATAGTAAATACATGTACATTCTGCAATAAGGTATAAACAATTGCTTTCATTAAACAAATATTTCAAAATAAATTGCACACCCAACTACACAAAATGTCTACTTGAGAGAAAACGTACAAACTGACAATGAAGAAATAAAATGAGATACTAGTAAGTAAGATTTTAAGTGAGTCTCTAAACCACTTAGTTCTGCACCTTACCAAAACTGGTCTAAGATGACTTTTTTGCAGTCATTTCGCGAAAATTAGGCAACCAACGCTTTAGGTATAGTAAGCTTTGGATGTTGCAGATGTCCTCAGACTTATTCCTGCAGATTCTAGGATAATGAGAACTGCCTCGTCCAAAAATAGCTTTACAATTTGAGTAAGGACATTAAGTGTTGGCTGCTATTAAATTTACTGTTAGCTTCCAATTGTATTCTGTTGAATAGACTTTCTGTGAGTAAATTATATGAAATATAAAAGTCTTATAAAAGTGATGAGATATTCTTACAGTTACTCTCATTACTGTCTTGGATTGTTTTCTGGGCATAAATCGGTTGGCGTAGTCCTTTCATATAAACGACTGCTGCATATATTCCTTTTTTCGTGGATGGTGTAATGATGGTTTGTCTTTGTTATTTCTCCCTCGTTACTTTTCGTGTATGTTCATATGACTTCTTATCCATCCTCTAGTGAAGAGTTTATTGTAGACTGTGTACATAATGTTGCTTCTTTTGGTATTTTATTGTCCTTCGACAGGGGCGTGGTGTACAAATGATCACTTAGGGCAATGGAATCTTTAATTTGTATGTCGTGGCCGGTTGCATTTTGTCTTATTGTACTAATTTAGAAGATGCGTCTACTGGATGAGGACCCCCCAATGGTGACTGGGGAATAGAAGTATGGTCACCATTGGTCTTCCTCCGACCGGCAGTAAAACCCTTGCTAAAGTGGGGCGTCCGTTTGGCTGTGC